ATGCATTTTATCAATTCATAACACAAGAACAGATATGAACCAATTTCATAAAACCTATGTTCTAACCCAATTAAACATGTGTAATTATTTAATTTTATGTGTTTAATAAATTCTGGAATTTCCTAGGCATGTACAGAAACACGAATCAAAGGGAAAGGGATAGAAGAAGAACTTGCCTTAAACTTTCGAATCGAAAGTTAAACTTCTTCTTCCTTGATTTTCTCTCTATAGGGTTTTTCTCCTCATTCCTTCCTTTTCCTCCTTCCCTCTCTAACACTATCTCTCCAGTATATATCACGTGAATATTACTAACCCCCTTTTACAACCTATAGCTATATATTTATAGGCTAAATAAAATAACCCTAACATTTTTCCCAATCCAAGTCTACTAGAAAAAATGAAAATAAAAATATTAAAAAGGTAAGCAAAATATGTTACGTATATAATTTATGTATATGTTTATTAAATAAATAAATTATACACATTCCATTATTTATTAATGGATTATCCAATAATATTTAAGTTACCATAATATTATAAAGTAACTTAAAACATAACACGTATCAAATCTATGTATATTTTTATTATTTAAATAAATATATACATCAGATTAAATATTACTACCCAAATTACCATAAAAGTAATTAATAAATTACTTTCTCTTATATATATATATATATTAAAAAGGTAAGTAAAATATGTTACGTATATAATTTATGTATATGTTTATTAAATAAATAAATTATACACATTCCATTATTTATTAATGGATTATCCAATAATACTTAAGTTACCATAATATTATAAAGTAACTTAAAACATAACACGTATCAAATCTATGTATATTTTTATTATTTAAATATAAAACATATACATCGGATTAAATATTACTACCCAAGTTACCATAAAAATAATTAATAAATTACTTTCCTTTTTATATATGTATATAATATATATCTATATATATACATACATTATCCATGGGTAATAATCCATACACATCCAACCTCCTATCCAAGTAGTCCATGGGACCCAATTGGTTGGCCCATTACTACTAACCATAACCATAAAAGAAAAATAAAATAAAATAATAAAAAAAAAGAAAACATTTAATTTACAATTAAAACAAATAAATAAATACCGAGACTATCCTTTTAAAATTAGGGGTATTACATAACCCAACCCCTCAACTACAGAAATGTTGCATATTACCCCATTCACAACACTCCTCAGCCACATGAGGCTTATTTCCGACCAATACTAATTTATCCCTTACTTATTAATTTATTATAAAAGATATAAAATATCATGATGTAAAATTATGATAAAATCCTTAGTTTTTTTAAATTGTTCTTCATCACCTTTCCCGCGGCTTGCGATTGTTCGGTGTGGTTTGGAGAGAGCCAATCCGGAGCCGAAAACCATTTGTTACCGGAAAGCCTCATCAATAATAATAAAATAAAACGGTGCTTCCATTGATGAAGACCATTTGATGGAACGGTACCAAAACAACCTTAGGTCCTCCTGTCTATCTCATCTCAATCACCATTATTTTCACTCTCTCCGAATTCTCTTCTAATTCGACATCAAATCCCTTGAGCCTTACCGGTTTTAGCTTCACCATAAACTTCTTTCTCTTCACCGTTGCAGGTGGCCACATTGTCCATTTCATCATTACCGCCACCATTTTCAGAGAGATAAAGTAGAGAAAGATGATGAAATAAAAGAAAAATTGCAAACCCATAAATGCCGATAAGAGTTATAAACTCTCTATACAAGCCCATTTATCTCTTGGACCCCCATCGCCTTTCTCCGGGCAGCTTTAGCCGAAGCCAAGTCTCAATCGACTCACGGCTCCATCTTAATCCCCATATACGTACAACCTAATGCAAGCCCATAATCGCCGATCTACTGTTAGTTTGCCATCACCGGAGTAAGTTTGTCTTCATCGGACTCAACCTAGTTTGTCTTCGTCGAACTCAACTGGTTTGGGTGCCATCGCATAAAAGGGTCTAAAACAGGAAAGACTCGTTAGACTTAAACTCGCTGTTCCAAAACCAATGAATCTTGCCTTTTTGGTCTGTCTAAGTTCGTTGCTGTAACTCTTGTTCACCGTTGGGTGAGAACTCGCTGAACTAAAATGGATTGCCAGAAATGATGGAAGCCACGTATAGTTCGAAACTGAGTTTCGAAGTGGGTTTGTCGCCGGCCATGTTTTCCTTCTCGTTACAGTTCACGATCGTGTAAGCTCGCCGCTGGCCTTATTTTTTACATAAATGCCGGTGAGAGCTCAAAACTGAGCTTCGAAATGGGTTCACCGGTGAGAACTATAACACACATACATATATATGTATATATGTATATGTATATGTTAGGGAAAAGACAAAGATATAACAGGGCAATGCAACAAATACAATACCCAAGTCAAATGCGGAATACTTAGAACTGGAACTTTCCCCTCTCTATGCAAACTTCTAAGATTAACAAATATAGAGCAAAGATAGCAAACAATCAATAAAATCAATTACACAATGAACACCGGGATATACGTGGAAAACCCTTCAGATTGAAGAGTAAAAAACCACGGGCCAACTCCGAATAGTCTTCTACTATCAATAATAATAATGGGTTACAATTGGTTTTCTCTAGATTAAACTAGAGGCTTATAAATCAGAGATTCTTCGAAGGGAAATCAAAACCCTTTGATAATAGCAACATCAACATAATGAAATGTTACCCAGAAAAAGGGTGGATATCAACCACATAGATAAGTAATCTCACCCGGTGTAACAGAACGTAAAATAGAGATAAACGAAGAACCTGGCCAAGTAGGATGATTTTCTCAATGCCAGTACCCTTCCCCTGAAGCCACACCTTGATCGGAGTTTAATAGCCAAATGATTTGCATAAAGTTGTGGGTTGTGGTCTTTCATAATCTCTCCCTCTTCTCTTATGTTGAAGAATACACCCAAATCAGCAATACGTCACCTCCTTCTTCTATTGACTGAATCAAATCTCTTTCTTCTTATTAACCCTACATCTCCATTAAAGGAGAATATATATACGAGCTTCCACGTGGGCTTTGTACATCCAAGTGGGTTGAACAATATGAGACTTATTGGGCTTTCCACATAGGAGGGAACCAACCCAACAATATATATGCGTGTGTGTGTGTATGCGCGTGTAATTTCCCTTACCTAGTATTTCCACCAGTTTTTGCCAAATGTACCATAGATGGGATACGAGGGAAATGAAAGAAAACGAAATATATAGAGATTTGGCTCAAGAGATATGAGATCGAAAGGAGGACCCAAGGGCGTTTTGGTTCCGTTCCACCAAGCTTTTCGGTAACAAATGGTCTTCTGCTCAAGAGACATTCTGTTCTTTTCAAACCACACCGAACAGTAGCCGGGCATGGGAAGATGATGAAGAAAAATATAAATAAAAAAAGAACCTAAGGGTATTATCAGAATTTTACACCCATAATATTTTATATATTTTACAATAAACGAATAAGTGAGGGGTAAAATAGTAATTATGTCCTTCTGTTGGTTAGAAATTAGTCTCCAGTGGCCAGAAAGTGTTGTCAAGGGGGCAATATGTAACATTTATATAGTTGAGGGGTTGAGTTACTCTAAAAAATAGTTTAGGGGGGTATTATGTAACAATGGTATAGTTTATGTTTTTTTTTTTTTTTTTTTTTTTTTTGGCTCTTTTGCTTAAGAGGTATTAAATACGAGGGTAAAAGTGTCATTTCACACATTTTCAATGTACCGGTCATACGAAAACAACTTAGGACGTGGGTGATAGTAATTTTTTAAATGTCTCTCCAATTAACAAAAAAAAAAAAAAAAGACAATGATGAGCTTCTAAACCAGGCAAATATCATCAATATTGGTGTTACCATGACATAAAAATAAGATAGAAAGTGTAAATTACAAAATGATTATCACAAATACATTTTTTAAAAGTGGTTAGAAACACTAAGCTTTGTTTGTTTTGACTTAAAATATTTTTTTCTGAATATATATATATATATATATATGGTAAAATATATATATTTTTTTCCCTTTTCGGTGTTTAGCAAATGTTTAGGTCGAGTTTGAGGCCGAGGTTGAGTCCATAAGGCAGAATATATAATTTGTCGAAAATTGATGAGTAAGTTATTTTTGTTAAATTTTAATATAATTTTTTTCGTAAATGTTTTACGACAACTAAACAGCAAAAAATAAAAAAATATTCAAATTAAAACAAACGAATCCTAATAGTAAAATATATATATATTTTCAAATAGTAAAATAAATAACCACATGCCTAAACCATTTATTTTAATAAATTACATGATAAACCACGAATTTGTTAAGGGCTCAAGGGGGCGCATGCCTCCACTGAAATTTTTTATTATTATATTTTATATTTCTAAATTTATACTTTTTTTGCATTTATATTCATAAAATTTTGAAATAATCCCTACTAAAATTATAAAAAAACCCCAATATATAAATTTGCCTCCCCTGTGATAAACTATGTCATGACATGAAATACAGTAAGTAATTGGTTTGGCAAGTGATATATTGTTGTTCCAAAATATATTTTGTCAATATTTTAAACGGTGCGTGTGTTATGTGATCGATATACGTATTCTAAGAAAAAAAAATCTTAAATAGCATGCCAATATATATATATATATGTATACTATTTATTTATTCAATATATTAGATGGAATGCAACTATGCCCCTAAAATAAAAAGAAAAGAAAAAGGCATGCAAAGATATAATACAACTTTGATTAGAAAATGATATTAGAAATGATGTTTATTATTATTTTTTCTAACCTTCGACTTTTTTTTTTTTTTTTCTTTCTAATATTTGTATTCAATAATTAGGGTGGTAATTAGGGTGGTAGAGATTATAGAATTTAGAGCCCAATATCACATCTTTAGCCAATTACTACTATCATTTTTAAACAGTAGAAGACAAGGGTTCAAGTGAAAGAATTCAAAATCAAGGGCATCTTGATTTGGAACGAATTTGAAATATACACATATCTGAAAAAGAGGGCTTTTCTCACTCCTCTCTCTCTACATACACTCTGCAACTGCGACCTAGTAGAAAGACGACCCAAGAAGACGATTGTTTCCGCTAATCACACACATAAGCGCCGCCGCATTCTCTCTCTCATCTGTCTCTATTTTCTATTTTCTCCCCCATATTTTCTTGCGAGGGTTTCAATTTTGATCTGTCCCTCGAAAGGTTTCAAATCTCTCGACATACGCACAAACACATACATATCGATCTGAATCGAATTCATGGAGACCATTCTCATCGACTGTGTACAGAACAGTCTTCGTCACTTGCTGTATCGAAACGCTATTTTCATCTGCGAGCGCCTATGCGTTGAGTTTCCATCAGAGGCACGTTCAATTTCTTGCACTATTAGTCTTCCATATAAACGTTACATAGATTATTGTAAATTGTGTGTTTGCAAGGATATATGTATGTATGTATATGTTTATGTATAGAAATGTGCTTCTGTATCTCACAGTTCTACTGAAAATATTGATGGTAATGCATTATTTGCATGAAAGCAAAGAATTTGATTTAGGAACTCCATGCTAGCATTATTTGTTTACAATTTGTTTCCTCCGGCATCAATTTTGTTACCTTCCCTAGTAAATATTAGAACCCAAAGTAACAGTTTGATTCTCTAAACAAGCAGTTTTTTGTTTTTTGTTTTAATGCCCTAATTCATTTGTTGGCTTTGATACCTTGAAATAAAATAGACCTTTAAATTTTTATGTGTGACTAATATCAGTTAAGATTCAAGACAGACGCCATCCTTTACCACTCTAGCGGAACAATTATCCTCTCTATTGAATGCAGGGAAAATGTGATTCTCTTGGACTATGGGAATGGTGGCGCATGGTGTTAAAACCATTGCTGCTTCAATTGAAATATTTTGATTCTGATGAACATTAATATTGATTATGGTAACATGCATATTAAAAAAGAAGAAGAAGAAACTATCGTGTTAGGGTTACTCAAGGAAGAAAGAGGGAAGTTAGAATTATCCAGTGAATCAGAAGACATGCAATCTCTTACTAGCTTCACTAACTTTAGCCTTAGGGCTTCATTTTCTGTTAATTTGGTAAGAAAAATTTCAAATTATTAATGCACACTTGCAGATTGACATGGGGGGTCTTCTATATGGTTTAGTAATTTGGTGAATTCGTCAGTCACCCCACTTTGTGATTTTGATAAATTTTTGTTAGTTGTGGATAACTGGATATTACGTGTTCAATTTTGCTTGCTTTTTTGTCTTAACATTAGACAATATATACTGATGTATATATGTATATAGATTATTGAATACTCCATACTGGCAAGTTGAATCAGTTGATATCTCTCATTCTATTCTCTTCATTTTTTGTTATGATTGCCTTATATTGGTGAATTATAGAGCTTTCTTCCTTCATGTTCTGCTCATAGAAAGTATTATTCTCTATAATACTTGACTACTCTCTTGACCTTTTTTGGTCTAATGCAGACAAATTTGCAATTACTAGCTGACTGCTACTTGCACAACAATCAAGCTTACTCCGCATACCATATTTTAAAGGGTATATGCAAAATTATCCTTTCATGTTTCAGCTTGTTTGGAATTCATTATAACTGTCTAGTGCATCTTTGTTTTTTGTTGTTATTTCATTTTTTTTTTTCCTTTTGTGGTTTACTAGTTACTCTTCTTTTAGTGAGGCTCATTCCTTGTCTTTTTATTCTCTTATTTCCTTATTATACGAAGGAACACAAATGGCTCAATCCCGCTACTTGTTTGCAATTTCATGCTTCCAGATGGATCTTCTTAGCGAAGCAGAGGCAGCATTATGCCCTGCTAATGAGCCTAGTGCAGAGGTGAGGGGTGTCATTCTGATATGTAAAATTATTTGCACTAATAAAGCTGGATCTTTATATAATCCAACCCTCTCAACATTTTTTATTGACACGGATCAATATCTGGCATTGATTATTATTATTATTATTTTTCCCAATTAGAATTATTTGTCCAAAAATGTATTCCTTGTGGCTACCTTGGAAAAGTTGATTTCTTATGAATGGTTGTGGTATTGTTGATGTCCCTCTTCATAAAGAGTAAGCCTTGCTCAACATTGTTTGTCCTTTCTGCACAGGTTCCAAATGGTGCAGCTGGTCACTATCTTCTTGGGCTTATATACAGGTTTATCACTTGTGTTTCCAAAATCTCATTTTTATTAGCCCTGAGATAAAAGCATTATCCTTTGTTAGTATCCTTTTAAATTCCAATGTGAGGGTGAGGTTACTTTTCATTTAGCATGTCTCATTATAACTGCATTGAGGGAATCAATTTTGAAGTTGGCTTGAGATTATCTTCCAAGGACGTTCATATATTTAACAGTTAGCCACTGATAAACTAAAACATTGTTAAGGATCAAAGGAAAACAAAAGCTTCATAATTATTATTATTTTTGTGACCTCTCTCTCTCTCTCTCTCTCTCTCCCTCTCCCTCTCCCCCATAATTCTTGGGGTGAAAAAGTCCATTTCTTTTGAGAGAATACTATGAAGCATTGATGTTGATACATTATGATATGATAGTAACATGATGTCATGGTAAATTTCAGAAAAGTAGGATAGAAATATGCTAAATATATATTTTTTAATATATGAATTATATTACATATGATGTTACGTTATGACATGTAAATTAAATATTGTATGACATATTGAATTTGTGCCTAATGAATTCTCTTATCAAATTGACAAAGCGTTAGAACCTAAGAAGCAAGAACACATATATAGGATAAAGACATGACACACTACGAAGATGCTGACACAAGAAGTATTAGAAAAGTACATGAATACACTGGGGACATGTTGATAAAATATGTAAAAATTACATATGAAAAACATTACTACACAATAATAGCATTGAATATTTTTTGACTAGATGAAATATATAACTTAAAATAATTAGTTACTTTTTGTCATTTTGAAAAAGCCATAATTAGATCTACATGTGTGTGTGTATTTACATATGTACACACAATTTGCTTACTCTTCTATCTTAATACTTGGGTGGCCACTACTTCTATTAAACATTTCTATATCTTTTGTTTTTGAATGCGATCAAACTTTTCATAAATTTTAGGGTAAATTGGCAAATTGCATAAAACCCCCATCTACTTTCAAATTTTGGCACAAGCCCCCCCCTACAATTTTTTTTTGGACATAAACCCCCCCCTTGAATCTTACAATTGTTGCAAAAATGAGGTCATAATGATGAAAATGCCCTTTAATATAATATTTTTTTTGATAAATAAAAGAATATTATAAAAGACGCTCAAGAGGGGAGCGAATCCCAAGGAAATGCAAAAGAGCACAAAGGTCTCAAGCCTTCAAAGAGGCCAAAAAATCAACAATTTCCTCCAACGATCTATGATCTCTCCCTGAAACCCAACAAAAAAGAGTGGAAATAATCGAGAATTTAAGCACCAAAATCGACACCGCCTTTCCTTCAAAGTATCTCCTATTCCTTTCAAGCCAAATACACCACCACACACAAAGCGGCGTAGCTCTCCACGCATCCTGACTGAGAGCCCCCACATGGCAACCTCTCCACATCTCAATCAACTCTCTAGTAGATCCTGGCATAACCCAATAAAACTCAAATAAGCCAAGCATCAAATCCCAACACTCTCTAGCCAAAGAGCAATGAATAAGAAGGTGATCCACAGATTCCTCATCATGAAGACACATATAACAACGATTGATCACCACCTGGCTTCTCCTTCTCAAATTATCCTGGGTTAAGATCCTACCCAGAACCGAAGTCCACACAAAGAAAGCCACTTTGAGAGGAGCCTTAGAACGCCAAACAGACTTCCAAGGAAAACGAACTCCAGGATAAAAAAAAAAGGCACTTGAAGAAAGACCTCACCTCAAAACGCTCAAAACGCCCCTTGGAGTTTGCGACCCAAGACCAACAATCCGAATCTTCCACCAAAATCCTCTGGCGATATAACAACTCCAAGAGAAGAATTGCCTCATCAATCTCCCAATCCTGAAAAGAACGTGTGAATCAAACATCCCAAACCAGTCTCCCATTATCAAGATGATAACAGTTAACCACCAAGGCCTGCCTATCCGAAGCAATCCTGTAAAGCTGAGGAAAGGCAAGAGTAAGAGGAGCATCACCGCACCACACATCCTCCCAAAAACAAATCCTCCTCCCATCTCTAAGACGAAACCGAATGTGCTTGGAAAAATCATCCCAACCCTTCCAAATAAATTTCCAAACTCTCACCCCCCGAGGATTTCTAACTTCCAAAGAGCTCCACCCTCCTCTCATCTCTCCAAAACGACAAGCCACAACCCTCCTCCAAAGCCAATGTCTCTCCACACCAAACCTCCACAACCATTTTCCAAGAAGGGCCTTATTAAAAGGCACCAATCTACGAAGACCCAGCCCACCATTCCGAATAGGCCTGCATACCTGATCCCATCTCACCAAATGGAACTAAAACTCTTCACCTCTACCCCCCCACAAACCTCTCAATCCTCTCCCAACTGAAGATGGAATCTGAAAGAGAGAGATAAAATAAGTGGGAAGGCTAGAGAGGGTACTCTTAATCAGAGTGACCCTCCCGCCCTTGGAAAGATACTGCTTCTTCCAACCTGCCAACCTTCTCTCAAATCTATCCATAACTGGATCCCAAATCCCCACACACCTCGAAGGAGCTCCCAGAGGCAAACCTAAGTAAGAAATGGAACTTTAAGAAAATTTAAGTTTTCTTTTCCTTTTTAATTTTTAAAAATAGAACTTTAAGAAAATTTTAAAAATTATACAGCATTAAAGTGATTTTATAATTACGAAAATTCCCCGTAATATAAATTTAAGAAAATTTAGGTTTTCTTTAGAACGATTTTCATTTAGGTTTTAGGAATTAGAAGGTTATTGCCTTTCAATAGGGCTCTGCTTGGGAAATGGCTCTGGAGATTTGGGGTTGAGAGGCAGTGGCTTTGGAGGAAAGTTATTGCCAGCAAGTTTGGGGAAAGAAGTGGTGGGTGGTGTTCCCTTGAGGTGCGTGGTCCTAGGGGTGTGGGGGTTTGGACTTGCATTCGAAAGGGATGGGATGTTTTTCGTAAGCATGTTTGTTTTCGGATCAGGAATGGTAGGAGGATCAGGTTTTGGGAAGACTTTTGGTGTGGGGAGCTTCCCCTTGCTCTTTCTTTCCCTCGGCTTTACAGGATTGCTTATGATAGACAGGCCTTGGCGATTGACTGTTATCATCTTGATAACGGAAGACTAACTTGGGATGTTCAGTTTAGAAGGCATTTTCAGGATTGGGAGATTGAGGAGGTCACTCGTTTTTTGGAGTTACTATATCGTCAGGTGATTTCTCATTGGGAGTTTGATTGTTGGCTTTGGAGTCCTCATTCTCAGGGTTGTTTTGAGGTGAGGTCCTTTTTTCAGGTGCCTTACTGTTGGCGATGGTGGTCCTTTCCCTTGGAAGGCTATTTGGCGCTCCAAGGCTCCCCTTAAGGTGGCTTTCTTTGCTTGGACTTTTGTCTTGTGTAGGATTTTAACCCAGGATAATTTGAGGAGGAGGAATCAGGTGGTTATCAATCGTTGTTACTTGTGCCGGCGCGATGCGGAGACAATGGATCACCTTCTGTTGCATTGTAGTATGGCCAGAGATTGTTGGGATTTGATGATTGGATTATTTGGAGTCCCATGGGTTATGCCCTATTCCTCTAGAGAGTTGATTGAGGCTTGGAGAAGTGTCTCAGTTGGGGCTCTCATTCGGGATGTTTGGAGGGCTACCTCTCTCTGTATTTGGTGGTGCATTTGGCCCGAGAGAAATCGGAGATATTTCGATGGAAAGGAGAAACCTATGTCTATGCTTAAGTTCTCCATTATTTCGACTCTTTTTTGTTGGGTCTCAGGGAGAGACTATCGTTTTGTTAAGGAGATTGTTATTTTTTTGGTCTCTTTGAAGGCTTGAGGCGTTTTGTGGCCTTTTGTTTCCACGGGATTCGCTCCCCTTTTGAGCGTTTTTTTATAAAAATCTTACTTATCAAAAAAAAAAAATTTAATAAAAATTTAAGAAAATTGTTCCAAGGTATTTTCATTTTCTTATAGGCGCACAATTAAAAATTTTTCCCGGAAATAATTCTTAACCACACTATGGCGAATGAGTTATTTGTATTAATTTTAATCTCATATTAAGGGGCACCATTTTCTTAAATATATATTAGGCAGCATTTTTGTCACATTAACATAACTTTGCAACAGTTGGATAGTTCGGGGGGTTTTATGACATTTTTTTTGCAGGGGAGTTTTGTGCCAAAAATTGAAAGTAGAGGGGTGGTTTTATAGAATTTGCCCTAAATTTTATATAAACCTTTAGTTTGATTTTCTTTACAAATTTTCTTTTCTTATATACTTTAAAATAAAGCCTTGGTCACCATACAAAGTTCATTAGTCACATAATGGCGAGCGTTTGAGAAGTGTCAGCTATCTGTTCAAAATTGAGAAATTATGTTTAAAATATAGGCACATCAAAGAGATTTGACTATGTCTTTGGAAGTGTTTGTGTCCGATATGGATATGATTCAACCCTGCTAGTGTTTGTGCTTCTTAGAAAAACTAGTAAAGAAGTACATGCAGTGCATGTGAAAAATTACCATTGTGTTTATGTATCCATTTAAATTTCACAAAGATATATCTATATAGAGAGGACAAAGATCGTTAAAAAAAAAAAAAATCCATCAATGCATGAAAGTATATATGAACTGAAGATTGGTGAAAGTAAAACTAAAATTATCCTTCGTCTTACCTTCAATTTTTTTTTTGAATAATTTCAGCGGAAAGAAACCACCATTGCTTGAGAAAATTTATAAATTGATTGTAGATTTAAGAATTTTGGATACGATATAATAATCTTGTGAACAAATAACAAGGATAAGAAACCAATTCTGATAGTAGGAGTTGATGGATCTGTATAGGCAATTGTAGATTTTGAAATTAAACTTGGTTTTAGTCTTTGAAACCTCTAGCCTGTTCATGTATAATACATAAGAAAGGTGAAAGTTTCATATTGAAAATAGATGTATTTATGTATCATCTTCGTGGGGTTTTTAGATATCCAAGAGCCATCTTAGTGAGAGAATAGTGGTATTAAATGTTATTAATAGAAAAATGCATAAAAAATTTACACACTTTTCATAGTACAGATATAGATACATGTGTGAATGTGTATATTATGCTGATATATACATAAAATATATGTTAATACATAATTTTGAATCTTTGATGACTCCTCTCCTACTCATATGCTCAGTTTATTATTAAAAAATTCCAATATATATATATATTGTCTTGGTAAGTAAAATTCCTATGTTTTGCTTTTATTATTCTTTTTTTAAAAATATTTTCAAGAAAGCTATCCTCAGAACTAAAATCAGAGGTTCAGTGGTTACATGTTGATAAGTGAACATGCATTATATATGTGTTCAAAATAAAAAAAAATTATTTCTAAATAATGGATATGTCTAAGAATTAGAGCGTGGGACATGTGTCTTGGAGTGTCTGCGACACGAGTTCTTCTAGAAGTGTCCTTGATTTTAGAAAATAAAGAACTAAAATTTATTGTTTTGTTTTCATAATTTTTGGCAATATATATGTTCTAAGAAGTACGGACACGGATACGACACGACACGGACACGGCAAATCCAAAAAAATTAGGACACGGACACGGCGAATAGTGTATATATATATCAGCATTAATAATTTTTAAAAAAAAAACACTGATATGTTTAGGTTGGAATATATATATATATATCACTGATATGTTAGTATATATATATATCAGCATCTTTCGAACACGGACACGGCGAATTGTGGCATCTTTAGGTTAGTATATATATATATCAGCATCTTTAGGGTAGTACAAAACAAAAAATAGAACATATCAGCATTAAAATTTAAAAAAAAAAAAAAAAAATTAACATATCAGCATTAAAAATTAAAAAAAAAAAAAAAAAATCCAGAAAAGTGTGTCCGAGCCGTGTCTGAGCTGTCTGAGCTGTGTCCGAGCTGTCAGAGCCGTGTCCGTGCCGTGTCCGAGCCGTGTCCGAAAATTAAAAAAAATAAAAAAATTCCAGACACGTTTTTTGGCGTGTCCGACACGTGTCGGATACGGATTCTTCGCCCATTTTGGAGTGTCCGTGCTTCCTAGATATGTTCTTTCCTGCCAGTAGTATATTGTGTATATAGAGAGGTGCTAAATTGTAGTGCATTTTTAAAAGAATAGAAAAATAAGAAGTATCTGCCAGACTTCAAAAATGGAAATATTGATACTGTGATAATTAGTTTTCTGATATTTTATGAGATTGTCACAATATTTTATAGTCTTGTTCAGTTTGGATTCTGTAAAACGATGAGATTGTTGTAGGAATTGGTCACCATGCTAGTCAAATGTCGAAAATCAGTGTTCCTTGGACTATCAATTTCTTTGATACCAATAGGCTAAGTAGTTATTATATTAGATTAACTATATTGATTTGGAGTATTATAGTCAATTAATTAATAGTTGTAGGAATTGGTCACCATGCTAGTCAAATGTCGAAAATCAGTGTTCCTTGGAATATCAATTTCTTTGATACCAATAGGCTAATTAGTTATTATATTAGATTATTATTACTGATTTGGAGTATTATAGTCAATTAATTAAGAGTTGATTGAGAATTAAACATCCAGAAGTCAATCTCTGACTACATACCGGATACCGAATCAGGCAAGCCACTTGAGTTGAGGCCCCCTCTTCCTTTATCATTTTGAGAAAAGAATATCTCAATCAATCTTATTTCATCAAGTCAAGGGCATGCAGCAGCTTCAAGAAATGAGAGCCGACTTCTAGAGATCCCTTATTTTGAATTGAATTCATACACGTACGGCTCCGTGAGAAGGGCAGAGGAGAGGTTTGAGACGCTTTGCAATGGCTTTAGAATATATATTATAAATCACATTGCAGAGAGATGTAGATTTGTGTCGGTTTAAGTATGCTTTTGGACCCCAAACCATTTATTGGGCCTAAACATCATCCTAACGGCTCCTTGACGAATGCAACCGTTCACTCAAACCCTGTATTTTCTGCTGTCGATTAGTTTCCCGCTTTTATAATTCCTTGATTCATGCACTCAATATCGGCCACCCAACTTAAAAGAAGGAAATACTGAACTCAGCATTACATCAGCTGAGAGGCAAGAACTCCGCTAGAAAGTACCTACCCGTCTCCCTCAAGTTGAACTCCCGATGTCTACTGGAGTATCTACCACTGATCCAATTGCTTTGTAAAAGAACTGACCTGTTGAAAGACATTTACCACGCTTCTGACTGCTCTCTGCCTCTTGATTTGTGTAATGATTATCTTTGGCTAGTTTATAGAGAATGGTTTCCTTTGGGTTTTTCAAATTTTTAGCTTTAAGCATGTCATTTTATTTAAAACAATCAACTTGAAACCTAATTATGCTTTAATTAGTTCTTTGTAAACCAAACCAGACAAGCTCTTAGAAACTCATCATGTTGAGACCTGATTACGTTTGCTTTTTAGTATAATTATATATACAATAGTCAACTTTGTCCTGGTTAAGCAAACTACTTCAAACAATAAGCTGAATTAGTCATTTTTTGATTAAAGCAGCCAAAACAATGCAAACCTGACCAGTCCTTACATTGTTGGTGAACTCCAAAACTATTTGGGGATTTTGATGTTTAAGAAGCTGTTTCTACATATTTTCCTTTTCAAGCCTCTACAATTACATAGTCACTCCATATCCCCCTCTCCAATCTTTTTATGTACATACCCACTTGTTATATCTGTGTGGTAACTTTTCTCTTTATCTGTTCTCAGTCATGTTTAAATAATAGTACAACATGTTAGCTTGTCTTCTGATTTTTTATTTTCAGGTTCACTGATAGAAGAAAAAGTGCCGTTCATCACTTTAAGCAGGCGTTGTCGTTAGATCCATTGTTGTGGACTGCTTACGAAGAGCTCTGTATATTAGGTTCGTAAAGAGAATAATAACAGGGCTCCAATCTTCTTGTGCAGAATTTATAGCATTTGTTGATAATATTCTGTAAATACGATTTCATCTTTAAATTCTGAGTGCTTATGGACTTGGGGCCATAATTTTAATTCAGTATGTTGCAAAGTTGTGTTGAATTTTTTTACTTAATCGGCAGTGGAATTCATTTTGGAATATGCTAACTATCTCACTTGAATGGCTTAGCAAATTAGTTTATTCTCTTTATTGTTTCTTTTGTGAATCCAAGTTGATTAAGTAATGTCACTGATGTGATTGTGCTTGCTCTGTCAGGAACTGTAGATTTCTTAATTCTTTTTTACATCGTTGTAGGCTGCATTGGATATGAGTTTGTAGTTCTGTCTGAGATGTATGATTAAGGGATTACTTTTTTACCATGTTGGATCTTTGTGATTGATATTTATCAGGAGTTCTAGTTTTGTGGGAGATACCCGATTCAGATATGAGGCACCATTTTTTGTTTTTTATTTAAAGATATATTCCATGGGATTTCATATTGTCATAAACCATCTTATGCTGGTGTTAAGTATCCAATTATAGCCCTTTTCATATTACTCTGTACTTGAGGAATGTAGTATCTATTTATCAATGTGTTTCATACATTGCATCTTTATATTAGTTAAAATGCCATTCTTTGAATTTTCCAGGTGCTGCTGAAGACGCAACATCAGTTTTTGGTGACTCAGCTGCTCTTTGCATTCAGAAGCAGCATTTGCACCATGGATTGGCGGACCAGAGCTTGCCAGCATCCAGTGATGATCATAGTATGGTTTCTGGTAGAAACTTAGGCTCAGAAGATACCAGTCCAAGGCAATTGAAGCATATGAATGCCAATAACCTAAGAGATAATGCTGTAACTTATCATGGATCAGTTGCATCGGGAGGTCCTCATAGTCTGCCTCAAAATGGTGGCCCTGCTAACATGTCATTCTTCAGTACTCCATCACCTATGGCCACTCAAGTATGACTACACAACACCCTTTTTTATTATATTATGTACTGCCAAGCTGCAGTTGAGTAAATCTTACACTAACTGTCATCAGTTTATCATTCCTACAATTGCACTGCTTGAAACTGGAATCCTTAAAACCAAATTGAGATGTTCCTTTTCCTTTTTTATGGGATGATCAATTTATATAGCTGCAACTCAGGACAATTTTGTTCATTATTTTTTCGATTGATCTACCCTAGTATGTCAGAGGAGTATATTTGGGTTATTTAACTTATTTTTGTTGGTATTTCTTTTTTACTTCCATGTATCACTTCTGTGTCAACTTATGACTACCTATACAATGACTCACCAAGTAATCTGCTGTATGATTAAATAATTTTTTTCTCCTCTCTCTATGCATAAATCACTAATTTTCTGCGCTGGCAAATAGTTGGAAAATGATCTTTTCTCTTTTGATAGTTTGGAGATATTATTATAGAAAGGAAGTAAAATGAATCCTTTCTATATATTTAAAACCTATATAGAAGTGCAAGGAGTGAGAAAAGAAATGAAAAGGAAAGCAGTAACCACTGTAAAATTCCCTGCAACCTGTTCAAGTTGGTATTGTAAATATTGTCCTCAGCGAAAGTAAATTTGTTTTTTCTTGACAAACTTGTTTTCTATCAATAGACTAATATTAGATATGATCTATGAGAAGGGTAGAAGCATATCTTTTCCAACAAAATATGAGGGAGATTATGAAATTTCTAAGCACCTTTTGGTCTCAACTTCTATGTCCACTTAGAAGAAGCACAAAAGAAGAAAGGGCGAGCATGAAATTCTTACGTTTTTACCATCCCGTGTTGTTCTTCTAAGCACAAAAATGAGATATGTACGATTTCCCTATATTTGTGTCCAATGGGCTCATTCAATCTTCTAACTCTTAGCACAATTGATTAGTCCATTTATTATCTCTAGTTGTACAACATCGAAGATATTTGCACTCCAATAATAGGAAATTCTGATGAAGCTTCAACTTGTTGAATAACCAGAAACAAACACTTCCTTGATAATTAGCAATTTGGTTCCATAAAGGAAACTGTCAACCCTATTGGTTACTTGATCTACTTGTTTGATGATTTTGTTTTAATAAAGGTTTTCTCAATGAAGCCCCACTCCACTCTATCGTACGCCTTAGCCATGTCCAATTTCATAAATAGTACCTGCTATTCCAACTTTTTGCACTGAGATAAGTCACCGTATTACGTACAGATCAACATGTTTGTCATTCAGTTAGTATCCAATTTCATCACTAACTTTGAAGAGTCAATTAATTTACAAAAGCATTGATGATTTAAATGTCCAGTAAACGAGAGTTTCTCTATGCACTGAAATGATCACATCTTAACATGTGGTCCTTTTATTGTCTCATGATGTAAATAATACAAGATAATCTATCGTAAGTAGTAAATGTAATAAATTATAAATCTCAATTATGTAATTTATTGGAATATGGCCTTAGCAGTTAGTCTGTGGCATGCTGTTTACCTGGTACTTTGAAGTGATTCATTTTTTTTTTTTTCAAATTTTTATGTTTTATTTAATTTTGTTTTTCTTCCTATCCCTGTGAAAATTGTAGCGGTTTTGTTCCAAGTGTTTCTATGTGTCTCTTAATAGCTTCATATCCTCACAGTTTTCCCTGACAGAATTTCTTGGTATTCCCTGTCTATCTGTGAGTAATATACAACATTCACTTGTGACGCTTACTCTTCTGGATTGAACTGAGCAACTCCATGGTCAGTCCAAATACCGTACATGATTTGAACACCTTCTGCACATTCAAAAGTAAATTTTCTTTTTTAAAAGTGAAATTTCATCAAAAAGTGCTTAAAGGGAGCACATTCAAAGAAACAACTACCTTTTCACTATTCCCTTAAACCAGTGTTGTTAAAGGCGTGCCCAGGATTGCGCCTAGGCTCGAGGCTCAGGTTTAGCGCCTGATATTTACTAGGCGCGCGCCTCGGTTGCGCCTCGTCCTATTTGTGAAGCGCGCCTCACTGATATTTGTTTAAAAAAATACGATTGTTCTATTTCTTAAGCCAAAAAGGGTACTTTTGGCAACTTAATAAACAAAAAAGAAAGCCCAAGCATTAGATAGAAGGAACTTTTGTACAAAAGAATTAAAAAATAAGAAAGCGCAAGAGTCAAAGTGTTAACCGAACAACGATAGAATGAGATTGTGAGACGATGACGAAGCCCTAGTTGCAGAGATGAACAACGAAGCCACGTCAGTTCTTTCTTTATTTATTTATTTTTCTCTCTTCTCCTCTAGATCTCCCCTCTCTTGTTATCTTTGTTTACATCTCTCTCTTCATCTAGTTCTCTTCTCTCTGTGTCTTTTATTTATTTATTTTTGGCTCTGTTTTTCTTTTTCTTTTTTTTCTTGTTAAATTTTTTTTTTTGTTAACATATTTTTTTCTTTTTATGCTTTGTTTTTCCATTCAAAAAAACACATTTTGCTTTGCCTTTCAAGAAAACAAATTGTGCGCTTTGTTTTATGGTTGTTGGATGCTTGTATAGTTGATGGATTTACTTTTTTATATTTGATATTAATTTTTAGAATATTGATACGACTTATGAGATATGAATATTATTATGGTGGTTTAAATTTTCAATTGTGCGCCTCACTTCACTCAGGCGCGTGCCTCGCCATGCGTCTCGTGCCTAGGCTCCAAAGGACCTCTAGTGCCTTGGTGTGCCTTGGGCCTTTAATAACATTGCCTTAAACTATCCAAGAAATCAACAAAACCCTCTACAGATTTACATAATTGCCTTTTAACTGAAAAAACAGAGAACACAAAATATAGAGTTTCAGCACCTATAGCAGTGCTTCCACGCTATCGAACAATTTCCTATTTCTCACCGTTTACAAACCCCACCAAATACAGAGCAGATTGACCTCCATGCATCTCGGCCTTGTCCTCTCACTATGCATCCTGTCCAAGACTCGAGCTTTCCATTTCAGAAGCGGACAACACCCACTGCCTCCCAAACACCGCCAAAATTATTGTAAAATGTCTCTCGTTACTGGACAGTGCAATAAAGATAATTCACTGACTCTTTATCTGTTTTGCACATGCAATATTAATTAACCACAATCTGATGCCGCTTCCTAAAATTTTTAATAGCTAAGATCTTCCAAAAGCCACTGTCTACCAAAAAAATGCCACCTGGAGGAGTGCTTTAGTTCTCCACACCGCTTTCCATAGGAATATGACCTCTTAGTCTTTCTGAAGCACCTGATAGCTCCCACCCAGCATCACACATCATCGCCCTCCTTAGCCATGGCCTGCTTATAAATCAAATCAAAGAAGATTAATTTCCAATCCTGAATTGGTCTCCCAAACAGAACACCCCGTGTCACTGTCCTGTTATCAAGCTGATAACAGTCTGCCTTAATGCTCTGTTTGTCAACTACAATCCCGAACAGTTCTGGGAACTGACATACAAGAGGTCTATCGTTATCGATCCAAAATCTGACGTGTCTCCCACTGTGCACCTTGAACTGAATATGCTTAGAGAATTCGTCCTAGTTCTTATGAACGTTTTCCTAAAGGCCCCCTAGTCCTCCCTAACCTACTCTCAATGATCATCCTCTACAAATTCTTTCTCCCCAACCCATATCTCCACAACCACTTCCCCAACAAGGCTTGATTAAGCAATTTGAATTTCTGAATTTCCAAGTCTCCCATTCGCATTGGCTAACACACCTTGTCTCATCTCATCAAGTTGTATCTAAATTTGTCTCTTGTTCCCCCCTCAAAAATTCTTTTGCAGCTCCACTTCACCATAGACAGAGGAATCTGAAATTGGGAGAGATAAGATATAGGGAGATTGAAACTTTTAATAAGAGTAAGCCTGCCTTTTTTTTTTTTGTGAGATTGCTTCTTCTGTGCAATTAACCTTTTCTCAAACCTTTTAACCACAATAGAAACCCTAGACTAGACTCTCAAAGGAAGACCCAAATATTCCACCAGAAAATCCCCAACCCCAGCTTGCGCTAGAATATTATCAACCTCGCCCATCAAAACAATCTTGCTCTTTCTGACATTGATCTTCAGCCTGAACACTGCTTGGAAGCACATCAATACATATCTCAAGAACTTCAACTGGTGTTTTGCTGCATCACAAAACACAATAGTAACGTAAATAGGAGACAAGATACTTGCAGCTGGGTGCCGGCCACTCTACCCACCTTAAACCCCTTGATTTAGCCAAAATCTGACAGCGTCCCACAAATGCATTTCACTACTCCGAGATCACACCATCAACGACCCTCCTCAACCTCAAAGTAGGGACTTTTTCTACTATCTTGTAGATCATTACCCACCATGACCATATTAATAGACCTAAAGTCCTTAGCTTCTTTGGATGCACCTCTTTTTTGGAGTTAAAGCTATAAAGGAGGTGTTAATACTCTTCTCAAACTGGCCACACGCCTGGAAGTGGTATGGAATTCCATTATCTCTTTCTTAACCACCTTCCAATTTTTTAAGACACCGGCCATTGTAAATTCGTTCAGCCCTGTTGCCTTCTCACCATTACAGCTCTTCAGCGCCATCTTCACCTGCTCTTTCAAACGTGTATCTCCACCCACTCCCTATCCTCTTCAGTGAGGGTACAGAATTCCAGGCCTGCCAACATATCTCCAAGGGTAATTCTCTGTACATAGTTGCTGATAGAACAATGCTAAGCCCCTCTTTAAATCCTCCTTTGTCAATTCGTTTCCATCTATGTGAGTTTTCCCAATATGATTGCCTCTTCCTATGCGCATTTGCAGCCGATGGAAGAATTTTGAGTTTTTTTCCCCTCCTTGAGGAGGACAGATCTTGGTTCAACTCTCCACTGGATTTGTGGAATTTCTTTTCTTGTTTTCTGTGTTTAACAGAAGAGAAAAATACTTTCATCATCTCATTGGAACATAAGTTCATCTTTTGCTTACTTTTTCTTAAGGACTTTCAGATGAATTTTCAGGTTGCACTTTTGGTGGCAAATACAATTTGTGTAATTTTAGTTCTGTTGGAATCCTGTGCTAGTTTGGTCTGCATTCCTTGTTTTTGTGCATGATCCTATACTACTACATTCTCTTGTTAATTTCTAGTGTTTATTAACTCTACTCATAAGTGTACAGATTCTGCTCAGAAATGCAAGTTTTTACTTTCATCTATGGCAATTGAGGATAGAAGTGCACCTTATTTTTCTTGATTCAGCAACTCCTTCTCATTCCTGCATTTGGCAACTTTTGTCTTATCCCTTCCAGCTCCCGCTCATTCTTGGTCAGCCTATAGAAAATGAAGCTTACTCTTATTTGTTTCCTTTTAACTAATACTCTTCCTGCATTTAGCATCTCCATTTATCCTCTTCCAGATGATGCTCAGTTTTATGTAACCTTGTGAAAGTATAAGTTTGACATAGATTCAATTTTGTGAAAGTATAAGTTAGATCCTAGATGCAGTAGTAGTGGGTAGGAGTGCACTTTAATATCCTTTAGTAACTCTATCTCGTTCCTGCATTTGATAACTTCACCTTTTCTGTTCAAGTTCATGTGCATTATTAGTCACATGATAGAGAATGAAAGCTTGCTTTTACTCCTCCCTGGTTAGATTATAGATTATGTATTCGGTGCACTTAGTTTTTTCTTCCCTATTAATTTTTGCTTTTAGTTTTGTTATTATATCATTCGTTGCAGCCTTTGCCCAATTTTACTCCTGCTGGTAAAGTGCAAGTTAATACACACGCACACACGTGTATTTTTGATTACCAATATGATTCAATTAAAAATGAAATTGGACTTATTTAAGTTAAAAGTAAATTTCATTTCTGCTTCTCTTGCAGTTGGGGCTGATGATTAGTCATGCTAGTAAGAGTTTAACTTTACTCTTTCCCCCCACCCCCTGCTATGGCTGGATACAACAATAACAACTATAATTAAAGCCTTTTCCCAACTACTTGGGGTCGGCTATGCGAGTCTTTTTTTTATTCCGCTCTATCTAAGGCCACGGCCTTGGTCAAACCGCATGATATCATATCCTTTGTTACTAACTATACCCACATTAAAGTCTTTCTCTTCCCTTAGTATTACCTTCAATATGGACTATGTCACTCTTCCTAACTGGTGCACTTAAGGGTCTTCTATACGCATGTCCAAACCATCTTAACCAATTTTATCTTCAACTATGGCTGGATGTAGTTTAAAAAATTTATAAAACGAAGTTAAAATTAAATTTATTTTCTCAAAGCAGAGATATTGGTCTTCTCTGCTTGTGATTTTGAAAGAAAGGCTATTTCTGTCTCTCTTACTGCAGACGTAATGGATCATTGCTCTTAGCTCTTTTCATATGTTGTAGTTGTCAGGTGTTGCTCCGCCCCCTGTATGCAAAAATATGCAGCAAAACAACCCCAACCCTGGCATGCTCGGTGTTGATGGCTCGCCAAGGTCAACTGTGAACTCTACAATTCAGGCCCCTCGAAGAAAGTTCGTGGATGAAGGAAAATTGAGAAAGGTTTTAATTTGCTATCCCTATTTCTTTTATATTAAGATGTCATCTAATAGTTCCATATGAATGTCATTCCTCTATTTATTTTTGTCATTATCTGATCAAAGTGGGATACTTGAAAGAGGTTCAAATGCAAGTCATCCTTTAAAATTGCAAAGTTTAGAGCTAATAAAATTCATGTTGGTCAGATTTCATGAGTGAAGTTTTGTTAGACACTTAGATATATATTTTACTTAACAAAAAAAAGAAAAAAGAATTGACCTAGTTTGACTTAGCTTTTGTTTACTAGCTTTATTATAGTTTCTGGCTTCTTTCTTGTTGGATTGATTACTCTGATATGTCTGTCTCTCTCGTTCCTGTTGTATTCAAGTTTATTTTATTGTTCTGTTTTGTTGAGTCTTTGGACCAGTCTTTATTCGTTCTGATATTGGGCAGTAATTGTGCCTCTACTTTCATGAGTCCATTTACACTTGGGTGGTTATAGTATTTTGTATATCCATGAAAAACTTATTGGACTATGAATATCTGTTCTAAAATCAGTTGTATATCAATTGCTCCAGATATCAGGGAGACTGTTTTCTGATTCTGGACCTCGAAGAAGCACTAGACTTGCCGGTGAAACTATGCCCAGCACAAATTCAAGCACCAATACTGTAGCCGGAAATGGAACTAGCCACTCTTCTAAATATCTCGGTGGTTCTAAGTTTAGCTCTGTGACATTTCGTCGTAAGGGACAACCCTGGGCTAATGAAAATTATGAGGAAGGTGATGAATCCTATAAGCAATATGTGTCACTACTTTTGTTATTTTTGTTAATATATATGCCCAGATCAGGTTGACATTGATTTCGTCCTATTAAGCCGCTCATGTTGGGAATTTTCTCACTTTATTAGAACTTAAAGCATATGATAGCATTTAAGGTACTCTCTCTGTATGTTTATTGTCATATGGAACTTGTCTTGCAGTAATACTTAGTTCTTAACTTCCTAGCTTTCAAAATCGTGGTTTGGCTCCTATCAGTTGAGTTAGCGCGTAGGGAATTCTAGGTACAGGGACCAGCAATAGTCTTCACTTAGGTGCTGTTTGATGAAACTGAAAATTAAGTTCTGAAAATTTTAAGAGCTGAATTTTACGTGCTGAAGTTTTTGAGTGGTAATTAAAAGTATATTTTTTGATATCTTTTTGAATTTTCGGCGTTCAACATTCAGTGATAAGTGATGTCCATGTCACTTAAAATTTTACCTCATTTTAAGTAGTGCTAACCGTTTTCAGTAATATTCAAATTGCGTAATCAAACACACTTAATTGGATTAGTGCTGAAACCTTTCAGCATTAGGTGCTGAATCGAGTTATCCAACAGCACCTTAGTCACTCTTTGAGAATTAAACTGTAATTGAAGTGCTGAAATTTTTAACTGCGATCTATTTAAATGTAAATTTCATAATCACAATATACCCACGAGATGGTGGGATGGTGTCTAAATTTATGCTAACATGGCAACATTTTAGGTGGCATTGAGGTTAAGTTTTTGTTTATTGTACATACATTTCTTGTGTTTTATCGACTATGCCTCAATCTTTACTGTTGGGCTATCAGCGGTTAGTGTTTGTTCCAGCACGCAATTTTCTATTCCTGTTTTCAGGTTGACACTCCTGAAATGTGATTGTTCAGTGAGTCCATTATAGTGACTAGTTGTCCGTGCTCCTTCTACATATTTATTGAAATGTGACTTGGTAGTACTATTGCATAAATAATGTATGTAATTCACCGTTGAATGGAGATTTCTCTGCAATTTCAAGTTGAAGTATTGGAGTTTTCGTTCGAGGAATTTTTTGAGGTGTCTGGCAAAATCCTTGTTATGTTGCAATACCTCAGAATTGGTCATAAATGTGATGTTGTGGCCTGAATTTTGTTTCGGCCTGGGTCGTGTTGCGACCAGTGAGAAAAATTTCATGACCCGTTTTCACTTGCGGGACGTGGGCCCTGTTCAAAACTCTCTTGTAGCCCGGTATATAAGGGTGTTTAGGGTTTGGAGTGGAATAACAAGAAAACACGGAAAATAGCAGGAAAGAGAGTGAGAGCGAGAGCTAGGTTTAGGGGGCTGAACCTTTTAATCTCCTGATTTTCACATTGTGAAATCTTTCGCCGGATGTTCACCGTGGACGTAGGCACAACTTGTGTCAAGCCTTGTAAATATTTTTGTCTTGTGTGGTGCTTGTTTTTGTCCTGTTTCGTGATTGTTTCTTGGTTCGCAGCTGTTTGTCACAACAATAATTAATATCGAACATTCTGATTTGCATCGTTTAATTAACTGATTTTCTGACTGGCACACTCATTAGTTATTTACCCCTCCCCACCCCATTCCATCCCACCCCAAAAATAATAAATAAAGTAATAAATCTTGTTGAGCTGCTAATATGATGGTTGCAGTTTGTGTCTTTGCTCATGTACTTCCCGCGACTGGTTCAGCCTAAGCTTGAATTACCATTTTGATTGTTTGTAGGGACACGTCAAGAGGTTTATGACGATTCTCGTTCAAATAATACGACCTCTAGTTCATCTTCGTCTGCTGATATTAGAACTCTTGAACAAGGAGCAGCCATGCCAATGGGTGGGGCTGTTATGAGTGTATCAAGAGTTATAAGTGGTGCTTCAGAAATATTGGCTCTCCTAAAAACTCTCGGGGAAGGCTATAGGCTTTCTTGCTTGTACAGGTGCCAGGTATTACATAGAGTTCCTTGAAGAAACAAGATAGTGTTCTTCTTTCTTGGTGTTGCATTTAATAATCTGAATAATGCTTTTGGGTAGAACAGGATGCGGTGGATGTCTATCTGAAACTTCCTCACAAGCATTATAATACAGGCTGGGTGCTTTCCCAGGTAATTTTGTTAGTTTAAATTTCCTACGTTGTATTTTCTCTAAAGCTTATGTTATCTCTTATTGATGATTTGCCTATGATGTTTTCTCTGATTTGTTTAAAAACAATGCACTGAGATAATCTGAATTCGATGGGTGCTGTAGATTTTCTCATTTGTTCCATGCAGTCCAGCACATTTCAGTTCGATTTCTGGAAATGTTCGTGTTATATTTTGTGCAGAAAGTTATCACATTACTAGAAGTGAATCTAAACCAAAAGAAAAACGAAAATGATGGGGGTTAAGAAGCAAAACACTTGGAATTTGGGTGGTTTTTTTATTGAGGTGTTACTTGGAGTTTGGTAACAAGCTTGTTACACCTTCAATGTTCCAAAAGGAGGTCCTTGGCAGAGTATCTGAGCTCTGTTATATTAGTGATGGCAGCCCTTTATAGGCTGGAAGTACTTAAGATTTTTCTCTGCTAATGTGTCAATCTTATATATTGAGAACTAAATTTGAATTTTTTTTTTTTTTTTTTTTTTTTTTTTTTTGTTGCGATATATTTATATTTCTTTCTGAAAATGCTCCTAATTCCCTGAATAAGGATTAAGCTTGGAGTTGTTGCCTTCTGAATCATATTTTCTAAATTTGTGTAATCTTTTTGACTCTCTTTATATTTTGTGATATGTATGTATATCGAAATGTTGGTTTTTTATATCTATTTTTATTTTGTGGGGTTAACTGGTCGTTCTCATGCAATTTCTCTTAAATGTTCTCGTTCTATAGATTTACAAATAGTTACCTATTTCAATACCTCTGTGTGACATCTTATATCTGATATATTGTATCACAGGTTGGGAAAGCATATTTTGAATTGGTTGATTATCTAGAGGCTGATCGTGCCTTCAGTCTTGCCCGTCTGGCATCGCCTTACAGTTTAGAAGGAATGGATATATATTCTACAGTTCTATATGTGAGTTCTACTCTTTGTAGGTTATAATTTTTGGTATCAGAATAATTAATATGCTGCTTTATTTATGACATCACAATACTGGTACAGCATGTTGGTAACTCCACTCTTTGTTGAAGTGTATATTCTTTCTTTATTGCTATATATTGCCTTATTAACATACATTTCATACATCAGAAATGATGGATACAGGTTCTCATTTGTAATTGAAAGAGCCTATCTGTTAATAGGTTTAAAATTTATGGGAAAAACTATATGATAAATGGTGTTCTGAGTATAAGAGTGTCTGTCTGTTTATTTTATTCTATTTTGAGTGATATTCATTCATTTTTGTGAAACATAGCTAATCATAATATCATTTATATAAAAAAAACTAGCTAATCATAATATCTAAAATGCTAATTTTCACTCTATCTGGTCTTGAGGAGTACAACTTGGGAGTCTTGTTAATCCATGTAATTTGATTTATAACTGGCTGCCATTTTTACCCATGTTGCAGCATTTGAAGGAGGATATGAAGCTAAGTTACCTGGCTCAGGAACTGATATCAACTGACCGTTTAGCTCCTCAATCTTGGTAACTCCATCAAAGTCTGTTAATAATGCGGTGCACTTTAGCTTATGTTTTCATATCATATAGCTTCTGTTAGTTAAATTTTGGTTCTCTTCCCTGGATCTCTTCTTAGAGCTTTTATGTCCTTCAATTTTCTTCTTATATAAATCACTCTTTTTTGTTTTCTTTGTTCCTTTATATATATATTTTGCGGGGTGGGTTGGTAGGGTAGGGAAGATTCCAAATCCTAATTAAAATACGACGTGCACAAAGATCTTAATTTTTATCTTCTGTGTACCAGACTTTTGGTTGGTTCCTTGCTATTGCATCCTGCTAGGTTTTAATGTGATGCATATCGATGAATTCTTCCACAATTCTGTTTTTGAGCTCTAAAGTGTTGAATTCCTGGGCATTCTTAGTGTATATTCGTCATGCCTGACTACTGGAGTGGCAATAGGCAGATGCCCTGTCAGTAAATATCCATTAGGTTATGTTGTCTCTATTAATTTTTTTTTTCTTAGTGAAGTTGTATTATTGGTGACATGAGCATGATGCTTCTTAAAATAGGGTGACCTTACTAGTAATTCGCTCTAATTTTGCTAGTAACAAGTTCCAATTACCTTTAGGGATTTTAAGAGGCCATAAAGCCTTTAAATGAGTTTCTGGCAGGTGTATTTGATTTTTTAGTATTGCTATTGATGATATTCCTTATATACTTGCTATTGAATGGATATGGCAGGTGTGCAATGGGAAATTGCTTTAGTTTGCAGAAAGACCATGAAACTGCTCTTAAAAATTTCCAGCGAGCAGTGCAACTGAATTCCAGATTTGCATATGCGCATACCCTTTGTGGTCATGAGTACGTGACACAACTGTTTTCATTCAAAATGCAATACATGAATTTAAAATTGTTTGGAGTAGACTTCATAAACGATTATAAGAGCCTACTTTATTTATTTCGGCTTTTGATTGTAGTCTTATACATCCTTATTTACAGATATGTTGCCCTAGAGGATTTTGAGAATGGGATTAAGAGCTACCAGAGTGCCCTCCGTTCTGATTCGAGACACTATAATGCCTGGTATGGTCTTGGAATGATCTACCTTCGCCAAGAGAAGTTTGAGTTCTCAGAGCATCATTTTCGAATGGCTTTTCAAATCAATCCACGTTCTTCTGTTATAATGTCTTATCTTGGGACAGCTTTCCATGCCTTAAAGGTTGTACCAGTTTCTACATTCATTTTGGTTTTCCAGTGCTTAACTATCATTGTCGTCTTTCTTTCATTGTCTGAACAATTTTGTCTATATTGTCTGACAGAGAAGTGAGGAAGCTTTACAGATGATGGAGAAGGCTATTTTAGCAGATAAGAAAAATCCGCTTCCCATGTATCAGAAGGCTAATATACTAGTCAGCATGGAAAGTTTTGATGAAGCGTTGATGGTCCTAGAGGAGCTTAAAGAGTATGCCCCTCATGAAAGCGGTGTGTATGCCTTAATGGGTAAGATTTATAAACGGCGTAACATGTATGACAAGGCAATGCTTCATTTTGGACTAGCTTTGGATTTGAAACCACCTGCAACAGATGTTGCTACCATTAAGGTGATTCGCTTATTTCTTATTCATACTTCCTTTTGGTATTTTTGATCATGTGTAAAATCACTCCTTTGTTCGTGGTTCTGCTTATTGTTCTGATGTGTAAAATACCTTTAGTCTTCCTAGTTCTTATTGTTTTGATGTCTAGAAGTTTCATGAGTTCGAGTTAAATTTTGAAGTACGATTATTTCTTTCTACAATCAATTTATCTGCATAAGAAACTTTTGACTGAAATTGATATCATTCCTTTCCTGTGTAATGTATTAGTTGCCTTTTGAACCTTTTCATGGGAATTGTGATGTTTTTCTCATAAAAATTTAACTAGAGTACCTAAATGTCAGTTCATTCATTGTTTATTTGTTTTGGATAAAAAACAAAAATAAATGCGATTTCATGCTTCAGAGTGGTTTTTATTTAATCTGTTACACTAACTTTGTTTTTTTAGTTTAGTGAGACGTGACTGACATTTAGAATCGACATATGAAGTCCTTTTTTTTCTGCTTCTATTCCCTGAGTACCAATGGTTTTTGGATCTATGTTTACCCTTCTCATCTCTCTTTCTAACAGGCTGCCATTGAGAAGTTGCATGTACCAGATGAGATAGAAGATTTGTTATAAATTTACTTGAGATGAGAGTACAGAAATACAGAGCATGTTGTAATTTATTCCGCGTCAAACACTCGCCCTGAGGGGACTGGTCTGCCTGGCGGCTTTGACTAATGGTGGAACTGGATGACCTGATCTTTGAGGCTTATCATCATTACTGGTTCTTTTGGGGACACATGATCAACTATGAACAATACAGATAAAGATTGTTCTAAGATGCCTCCTGCAGCTGGTAGATTCTGTGACTGTGGAACTCACAGTTTTGTAGGTATTTCGCATACTAGTAGAGGATCCAATGTAACAATGCGGTTGTAGGCTCCATACTTGTTCTAAGTACTAACAGTCAATAGTGATTCCGAAGAAAAGGCTTGTATCATTAGTCTGCACTGAATTGTTTGTGCTTTCTAATAGTTGCAGTGTTACTTGACCAATTGAACACTCTGACTTATAATTCTTATTTATTTCTATTATTCTTTTCAGATGCAACATGAACTCTATTGTCATTAGCAAATCTGGGCTTTTTGGACTCTGGCACATGGCTAAGGTATTTAAACTCCATCCAGGACTCTCTAATCTAATATAGTTCAGAGAGTCAATTTTATCATTCTAATAAAATATAGAAGAGTAACCCAGCTTTCACACATCCTTTGTTGGTCCTAGCGTAAGAAGCACGAACAGTTTTATGGCGGTGCCGTGTCTGTGTCACACTTCATGGACATTCCTAGACATGTGTTCGACACTTCTTGGCCGTGTCCATAATTATTTATTTTAGACACTTGGCCGACGCATCTTGGACACTCGACCGACACATTCTGGACACTTGACCAACACATCCCACACTTTTCTTATATCAAATAAACACGACAGTGGTGGAAATAACATTATGAACATACATCGATGAACATAATTATAATGACTAGATAGGATAGTAATAATATATATATATATATATATATATTATAAAATTTTCTTTGGATGTTCAAATAGCTTTATCTTCTAACTCGATGTAACTTTAGTATAGAAACTATAAATTAATTAAGGTTCTATAATTGTGTTATTCAGCTTTTTGTCTCCTTTATAGCTGGAAGTTCTCCAAAAATTAGGAAAAGCTGGAGGACTTTGTACCATCCATTCCGGTGTGGTAGGAATCTGTTCAACAGCCCAAGGACTTGGAGCACATCTTTTGTTCTTTTCGGCGTATCCATGTCGTATCGTGTCTGTGTCCTTTGTTCATATCCATGCTTCTTAGGTCCTAGATATGCAAGGTAATAGGACAGAAAGAATGATAGAAGACAGAAATTTTGAGTTTTAACATTATTTTACATTAGGAAACCCTGCCCATTATTTATGCTTGAATGTGAGCTTGAAAAGGATAAATCAAAGATTTTCCTTAGACATGGTTAGAATCATTTCCAGTGACATTGGTAGACCAATTTGTTTGGATGAACCAATAGCCAATTATTATTATTATTATTTATATTTTTCTCCGAAAAAGCAGAAGCCAATTAGCCTATGCTATAGTGTGTTTTGAGGTTTCTTTTGATGATATCCTCTTGTATTTTGAAGAGGGGAAGAAATTTGAAATTAGGTTTAAAATACGCTTTAAAGCACTAAAACTTGTCACAAATGCCAGGTAATTGATCACTCTTGCCGTGAGGAACCCAAACAAGAATTTTGTAAAATAATATTCCAAACAAGGGTGATGTTTTGTTGATAATTCTACTGAAGATTCAAGGGTTAATTCTAATTTTAATATGAGATAAAATGCACATGGGACTGCAAATGAACTATGTTGTTTGCATATAGCTCAGGGTTGGCTCGCTTAAAGCTCATGTTAATATCATTTGCTCGCAAGCTAGCTGATATCAAACTTGTTAATTAAGCTTGTTTAGTAGTCGAGTTGAGTCTGAACAATCCATGACTTCTCTTTATAATCAAAATTTTCCCTTATTCCTGGTCTCAAGCATGTGTTTAAGCTCGAGCACCATAATGAACTTGAATTTGAGCTTGAGATTGGGTAAGGAGCCAGATGAGTCGAACTTGAGCCATCAAGCAGTGTTCGAGCTGAGCTCTAACTTCAAGTTTTGACTTGACTCGAACTCAAGTTTAATTGTTAAGTTCTACCAGCCTAAAGTTCAGCTTAACAAGAAAAGCAAGAAAGAAAGAAAGGATATTAAAGGCAAATGAAATGTACATCGACATCATTAGGGATTCGTGAATGAACTGCATTATGTTTTTTGCCATTGATTTGCAATTGCCAAGAATGATGAATCTGGTGGTGTGCTCTCAGCTTTGAACTCTTCGTTGTACCAATGGGTATCTTCTTATACACCTTTCGACTAGAGGGGTTCTGATAGAAGCCCCATTTTTCACTATAGATTCAGCTTTTGAGATAATTGGTAGTCTAACATGGTACCAAGCCTTGATTCTGGAAGGTCTTGTGTTTTAGTCTCCTATGCATCTGTTTCTTTAGTTTTGGTAATGGGATGTGAGTAGATCTGATTTTGTGCACGGTCGGATCAAAATGCTTGTCATGAGTTCAAGTCTCCAAGTCAATCCCTCTTCTGCCTCTGTATTTGCTTCCATTTTCAATTACAAGGTGAGGATGAATTGATCATAAAGAAGGGTTTGAATTGTGATAGCTTGATATGCGTTGTTGGGTAAGCCTGTAACTTATGGGGCAAAGGTTGACTATACCGTATTAACCCTTTTTTTTTTTCCCTGTTTTTTCCTGAATGCGTATTAAATCTTTGGTTCAGAGAACTTGTTGGGTTCAAAGTCTACCCATCTCGCTGAAGTTCTAACACGTTTCTCCAATATGGTCAAGATCCCCTCAAATGTGAGAGGCTTGCTCTCCTTTTTTTATTTTATTTATTTATTTTTTATTTTTTATTTTTTTATTTTTTTATGCCTGCTGGTTCTTTTTGGCTATAATCTGAGGTTATGTAAAAAGCTTTAACTTGTGTATCTTCTCAGGTTCTCTAAAAAACTTTTGCTAGCATTGTCTTTCGCCTTGCATATTGGTTTGTCAGGGTTTCTCTTTTGGTCTTTGGATTTTTTGTGCATGCAGGGCATGCTTGCAGGCTCTATTAGATTAGGGTTTTGTGTCTTCCAACATAAAGGAGAAATTCTTAGTATATGAATTATGGGATTATTGTACATCTCTCTCTCATTCTGTTAAATATACCCCCTCCGTCCCAAAACAAGTGTCATGTTTTCCTTTTTTGTTCGTCTCAAAATAAGTGTCCACTTTTTTATTTCAAACAATATATTTCACGTCATTCCAGAAATGTCCTTTGAGTTTAAATTTCAAACTTCAATATTTAAAATTTAAAAGGGTAACATAGTAATTTTTTAGGCAAACAATATATGGTCCCACATGTTCCCTTAAAAATTACTACTCTCCATAAGTGACACTTATATTGGGACGGAGGGAGTATTACGAAAAAGAGTAGTGTTACATTTTGTCCGCATCCTCAGGTCTTGTGAGAAGCTTTTACAAGCTTCAAGTTTAGGTGTTTCAGTTTGTATTAGGTGTTGTCTGGTGTTGGTTTTTTTTTAATGATTTTGGATATATTTTCGGGCTTTGATTAGACTACTGTTTTATATATTCTTTTTGGTTATTCGGAGTAATATTTAGGCGTAGTAAGAAAGTTATTCTGTTTGCTTCTTGATAAGAGAGAACTTGAATATCTATTTGCTTCCATGCATGGGGCTGAAAATCAAGTTGAGCACAACGACGACAGTTCAAGCTCAGTCGAATTTCATTTTCAGGGGAGGTTCGAGTAATTTCTTAAACCAGAAGAGAGGTCTCTGTAATTATGACTATAGGAGACGTTCGTGTAATTTAGCCAAAAGAAAAAAGAAAAAATAAAAAAACACATGATTCCCGTGCCACCAATACGAACACCACCACATCATGCATTTTTGTCACTTTTAACAATAACGTAATAATTTTTTTTCCTTGACATTTCTCTCAAGAAATAGACCGTAGAAAGCATGCAAAAAAATATAATTAAAAATAAAACATAGGCATATCCGATCCCCCAAGTGCCATTTTGGTCATGGAATGTGTATTCTATGAAGAATTTTCTGGATTTATATTCAATGGGAGACTAAGGAAACAAGGTGGAACAGTGGTTTATAATAACGAGAAGATGCACTGAAATCTCACTTACAATGGCATGTTGATAGGTCATATAACCGTTCTAAAATTTGAGAATATGTAACAATTTTGGAATGGATGCACTGAATCTTGCAGGAGTGAATTTTTTTTATATGCTATTCTATTTATTATTTTGAAGTGGATTAAAACTTAAAAAAAAAAAAAAAAAAAAAAAAAAATGAGATTGCAGGTTCTGGCACTAACAAAGATTGCATTCATGGATGAAGACACACATAAAATGAAGGACCATTTTATTGAATGAGCAAGTTCATAGATTTTAATTATCACAACCATGTATAATATAATGCCTCATTGAAATCAACTGAGCACATTAGAGATGTAAAAAATAAAAGATCGGACCATCCTATACGAGGACAAATGCTATAAAGTGAGCACACCTCTATTTGAATTTTGAATTGAGCGCAAATGTTCTCGATAATTTTCCTAGACCTTGACCTGAAAAAACCACAGAACAAATATTACTAACACTAACATGAGTAAGGAAAATCATTTATAATATGAAACAATAATATCCATTTATGTAAATTTTATAATTAGGCTAACAGTCTTCACATAATCTTCATGAACAGTGTGTTTTTCATATTGCTCATGTACATACCAATAAGCACCCAGAAATACCTTTTAAAAAAAAAAAAACAAATATCACCAAAATGTTACTGGGCATCAACAACGATAAAAATGACGGATTTGCCATTACATATTTAAAACAATAACAAAAAAAAAAGTTTATTTCACAAAGCCCCCTTAAACTATATCTGCTTCTCATATTGCCCAGGAGGGAGCCATAAATGTGAAATTTCAGAAAAACTAGATCGCCAAATGTATGAAGAATTTGTTCCTTGGAGTACCCTATACGTACAAACTACAAACACTAGATTAGAATTAGATGGTAAGACAGGAAAAAATAAATAAATAAACAGATAATTCTTAATTAAAAGGCTAATATGATGCAAAACATAATAGCACTTGAAAAACACCAAAAGGAATATCTATAACAACGGCAACCAGCGAATGCTATCCAAACAAAAGTATTTTGGTTAGAATTAACATGAACTACTAATTTTTCAAATAATGATGATGATTGGAAGAAAATAAAAAATAGCATTATGAATTTTTATGACTTTTGTTTGTCACAAGCATATTGCCTAACAGGTATTAGGCCTTCCCTCTTTGTTTAATATTGTGAATTTGAGCCTGATTGTGTATCTAACACCATACCAGACTCTTGGCGAGATTCCAAAATGTTCCGGTTTTCCTTTGCCCTTTTCTGTCCTGAAAAGCATTTGAGGGGAAAATATTTAAGACTAACAATCTCACCGTCCAAAACCATTAAATGGTGAATTTCAGGGCTACTTCCATGGAACCAGAGGCGACAAGGCGACCCACTATCCCCTTCACTCTTTGTTCTATCAATGAAAGTGCTTTCCTGCATCGTCAAGAAATGTGTCACACAGAACACATCCTTCAAGTACCACCGGAGATGTAAAGATGTTGGCATTACCATCAATGAAAGTACTTTCCTGCATCGTCATTCGCTGATGATCTATTGCTCCTATGCCATGGAGACATTGCCTCGGTATCCACCCTTAAGTCTGCACTTGATCTCTTCTCGGACTTCTCTGGACTGAATATCAATCCCTTGAAAAGCTCAGTCTTCTTCTCAGGATGGACTACTCAAATGAGATCAAATTGTCCACATTTCTAGGAGTTGACATTGGAACATTACCTATGAAGCACCTCGGAGTCCCTCTCATTATACCATTGCTGCTGTTAACTGGCCTTCGAAAAACCAGCTAGGGGTGGTGTCTTGGAAAATGTCGACCTTCAAAGAACTATACCATTGCTGCTGTATTACAGAACTTTGTTAGTGAAAAGACTCCTGGATTTTATGTTTCAGGTTTGCTAAGGAAAGTGGTCATATGGTCAGTAGCTGTTATGGTCGCATAAGTGTCCTCTCCCCTGTCTGATGCGACAATTTAGTCATTTGTTAAAGTCTGGTGTGTCACACATTCTATAGAATATTTTTGATTTACCCAATTTTTTAGTTTTTTTCTTTTCTTTGATAATCGTGGATGTCCGGGTCAGCTTGCACGCACCTCAACTAATTCCATGAGGCCTTGAAGTTAACGACCAGGCAAGCCTCTAGTGATCCTGAGGAGACTCGAACTGGTGACCATTGGGGAGCAAACCCAATTTTTAAGATTGATTATACAAATCTGCATAGATAGATATGTTATCTCCCAGCTACTTAATGTCATGTTGAATAGCTGTCATTGATTCCTAATTTTTTTTTTTTTTTACTTTATGTGTGGTGATGCTATGCAGGATTCCCATTAATGTTTTAGCTTTGGATGCAAAAATGAACCAAAAGTGCCTAAACAGACCACCATCATCATCATCATTATATACCAAAACAAATTCATTGCATACAAATCGATAGAAATAACAAGGCATGAACATAGAAAAATACAACCTATATACATGAGGAAGTGGTTGGCATCTTGAAACGGCAAAGTGGACAAGAGTGGGATGTGTGAAGCCACCTTGTAATGCAATCTCCATGAAAGAGGTGAGAGCATGGCATGCGAGTGAGGGACTGTTCATCAGAGAACTCTTCCAGACAAATGGCACAGGAGCGATAGAATGTGATCTTCTCCAAGGCGTCGATGGATGATTGAGTTGCAGGTACCAGCTTCAACCCGACATAGTCGTCCACGGACTCCTGTATAGCCCGATCCATTGACCCATTCGTAGCCCGAGCCAAGGCCGCTCGTAGAAACCGAATCAGTGGCAAATCATCGTGAATATTGGACTCAACCTCGTCTAACTCCATAGGATCATCATCAGAGCTTCCATGGACGGACGGCCATGTCTTGATTACTACGTTGCGAATGGCTAGGGATGGCAAATTCCCCATCCCCGCCGGGGTTTATAGCGGGGATGGGGATCCTTTTAGTTAAATGGGGATGGGAATGGAGGCAATTTATCAATTCTTGTCGGGAATTAGGTGTAAAATTATTAATATACTCTTACATATAATAATTTATTATTTTATAAGAAAAAATATGTTTTTTTTAATAAAAAAAAATTACGAGGCCGGGGTTGGGGCGGGGCTGGGTATGAAAATTCTGGCAAAATTTTAAGCGGGAATGGAGGCGGAGATAGGAAATGAAAAATACATCGGGGATGGGGATGGGGATGGGGATGGTGAATCCCCTCCTCACCCCGTCCCGTTGCCATCCCTAAGAGTGGCTATGGGTGTGGCAGTCTCCGGAATGTGACTTCTTTCCCGGTGCATGCGGTGCAAGAAAGAGGATGTCGTCGCACATCCGGTCGTCGGCGGTGACTTCCTTGCGGAAGACGCAATGATTGAAGAATCTGCGTGACAAGTCGTCGAATTCTAGCAGAGAAGCCGGCATAGGGTACCAATATGTGTTGGTAGAGCGATTGAGTTCCACCATATTAGTGTTGTATGTATAATTATGTACAGTTACATTCAAGGAAATCACATCAGATGGTGCGAATGGCAATACCAACCCATCGCAAAGACCGCGCTGTGTGTACCATTCTTGACTCCTTCGATTTACCATCTTCAATCAATACACACACAAATTGCACAAAATTTTTTACTAGCAAGAGAATCGATCGTTCTGGAAAGGGATCGGTGAGTTCTGGAAAGGGATTAGGGTTAGAGGTCTTATACAAAAGGGGCGGTAGTAGGGAGAAGACCCTCGCGAGGAATACGCCATTTTTGAAACGAAGTAACGGTTATATAATTTAATAACCCTATAGGCTGGCTATAGCTGCTTGTGAAGAACGCAATTCTTTTAAACGATTTTAAAAATATTTAAATATCTCGGACGAATTCTTTCTATTATGACAAGGAATATGGTAATTCTTCTTTTTCCTATTATGACAAGAAAAACAGTACTCTTTTTTAGGGTAAATTTCGTTTAATAAAATTATAAAGAAGATTGATATTAAAATATTTTGATAAAGGTGGTTGCTAAACATGGTAAGACTTATATGTCAATTTTTTTCCTTTAATTTTGATTTTATATTTATATATTATTTCATTGACAAATTATAGAATTTGGAAAAACTACACGGATAGGTAGAGTCAGGAGTTTTAAATAACAAAATGGTCTATTTTAAAAGTTTACTTTTCAATTTGATTGAATTTTAAAAAATAATTACAAATGCATCAAGAATTATTTTTAAGGTCCAAAATAAAAATAATTACAAATGCATCAAGAATTATTTTTAAGGTCCAAAATACCCTCATTCCAAAATTTCAAAATATCCTTCAGAATATCACATAATTCCAAAACACCAAAAAAATTAGGAACCCTACTTTGTTCTAGCCAATCTCAGTATTGGTGGGGTTTTTATTTTGTTATTTTTTATGGATTGCCAGTTTCAAGTATTGCTCGTTAGGACTTCTTATGTCAGGATATGGATCAAATAATAAAAACTGGCTGAAAGTATACCCAAAACGTTCTTGGGATTTGCCAAGCTAGTCTCATGCTAAGCTTTCCAGTGGGAAAAAATCACCCAACTAAATAGAAAATCAGTAACTCAGAGGATCTTTACTTTATTATCCCAACTTCGCCCAGGGAAAAGGTAGCATAATAGTATGTGGTTTTTGTGCTCGAAAAAAGCGTTGTGCATGAGAGAAAAAAATGTATATATATATAAAAAATCTAATCCATTGCAACAACTATTTTGGTCAATTCATAATGACCAAACAGTGATTAAGGAGTCTCTTCTAAAATTAGATTGTTAAGATCGAACGAGTTGTTAAAAAATTATCCATTGTTCTCTTTTTTCCTAGTAATTGGAATACTTTTCTCTAAAACGAAAAGAGCTGCAAGGGAATGATTTCAACATTATTTTCCTCCTGTGTTCTTACTTTTTAGCAAAATAGTTTAGGTTTCTTTTGACAAGTTTATATATATATATATATAATATTGTGAATTTGGTCTTAGAATAGATTATACATCAAATCACTTTGAATAGATAACTTGGGATAACTTTCTTTGATAATATATATATATATCTATATCCCTTATAAAAGAAGATTCTATTCTATTATTTATATATATTTTAATTTCATTTTACATCAATTAAAAGAAAGAGTTAATACCTTTTTATTTCATTTTACATCAATTAAAAGAGAGAGTTAATAATACCCTTTTTAAACTAATAAATTATATTATCTAAAATTTTCTTCCTAAAGATGCACTGTTTCGTTTATTAGAGGACACAAATGTTAAAGAAACAAAAGTTAATGAGGCACTGAAAGGACATGCCTAATTTTTAAAAATCATGCTTATTTAATTTTTCGTTTTCAATTTATATCGTAATATTTATATAGTTTTTAAAATAATTATTTTTCCAAAAAGGTATTAACATGACTATTTTGAAAAGTTATAATTTTTAATATATAAACTTTTCTTATTTCCAAAAAGTTGTATCTTTGAACCTTTTATTATTATTATTTTTAAACACTAGCATAACTCTTTTTATATATATATCTATATATATATATATATATATATATATATATATATAGATATAGATATATTAATACTTAATAGTTAGTTGACGATTAAATATATATTTTTTATTTATTTTGTTTTTTTCTTCTCTCAATAAACCACAAAAAGACATTTTATATATATAATAACACATAAAAGATGTTGGAGACAATTTTGTTTTACCTCACTATTTTGAAAAGTACGTTAACGTATATTTTTTATAATTTTTTCTGTGTCCAAAGAGTTATATCCAAATTAAAATACACATTCCATTAGAATTCCTTTTAGTTTTCTTAACATCACAAAATGGGTGTGTCCATCTTTCTAGCTATCACCTATCTATGCAAATTGAAATATATGGTTGAAGGAAAATTTTCTACATTTTTTTTTATCAGCAATCATATATAAACTCTCTATATCTCTCCAAAGTTTCATTTTTTATTTTCTATATTATTATTATTATTATTATTATTATTATTATTATTATTTTGCAACCAAGGGAACTTTATAATCCAATTAACTATATTGTACTAAATAAAATTTGATTAACTCTGGAATCATATTATATATATCCATTTCGTTCTAGGCTAAAATATTTAGTAATTATTTTACTCATTTAGTTTGAAATTATTATATTTTGCTTTTTGTTTCATTTTTTATTTATTTATTTTTTAATAAAAAATATATATATATCATTTATTATATATATACATTTTTTTAAATAGTTTTGTATTACTTTATTAAACTAAATTTTAAATTATTTAGAATTTAATTCCTAAACCCACGTCGTTCTTATTGCAAAGCGCCTATAAGTGTTCAAGGTCGCAGGGAACTTGTTCCAACTCCTTATTCCCGAGAACAGTATTCATCTGCGTATCCTTAATGGTTGTCCATGACTTTTTGATGGGCATTTGGTGGTGTTTAAGGAGTGGGAGGAGGGATTGCTGCGTTCTGAGGCACCGTCTCAGGTCTTTCCTTGCTGGATCCAGATCCTGGATGTGCACGCTAATCTTCTGTCTAAGAAGGTAGGGCAAAGAATTACAAACCCATTAGGTCGTTGTTTAAAGGTGGAGTTGAGGGATAAGGTTCTTGGTGACAGGACTGTACACACAAATTTTGTAATCTATAAATAAGAAACAAAATTGGGACAAATAGATTTTTATTAATTTATAAAAAATTAGAGTGCAATCCTTTGTAATATTCTTTACAAAGAATAAGGTCCTCTGATTCGATCTCATTTTCTTTGTTGGTTGGATCCAAGGGCTGCATGAGCTTGATCTTGAATCATCGTGGAATTTGGATGAAGAACGACAATATTTGATATGCTTTTTGTTGATCACCGTGGAATTTGGATGAAAAACGGCACGATTTGATGTGCTTGTTGTTCTTCATCTTCATAGAGGATTTGTTGAATTTGGTGAAGAACGGCACGATTTGATGTGCTTGTTGTTCTTCGTCTTCAGAGAAGATTTGTTGAATTTGGTGAAGAATGGCACTATTTTGTTCTTCGTATTCAGAGAGGATTTGTTGAATTTGGTGAAGAACGGCACGATTTTGGATGTGCTTGGTGTTCTTTTCCTTCAGGTTTGCACTCTGGATTTCCGATTCTCTCAATTTCTGGACCTTTTAGATTTCTGAGTCTCTGGATTTCTTGACTATGAATTTGTGTCCCTTCCTTCTTCCTTCAGGCGTCTATTTATAGGCTTCTTGGATCCATAGAATGATGACACGTGTAATAGTTATGCTTATATATATGTATATGTATATATATTAAAGTTAAGATTTTTTTCAAAAGTAGGTGGGCCCCACCGATAACTTAAAAACATGACTGAAGTCCATAAGGCCATTATGCAGACATATATTTTTCTCTCTCTCTCTGCTTCCGGCCTTCTCTCGGCATCTCTTTTCTTTTTCTCTTTTTGTAATTTTAAGCTTTGATCTCATCTTCACCAATTGGATTTTGGTAGAACATTGTGAAGCAAAGTTGTTGAGCTCGTCGAGCCCGTTAATTTGATAGGAGCCAATCATCACTTGGTGCACTATAGGGAGTTCAAAATTCTAGGGTTCTTGGGCTTGGATTTGGGGATTTTGGGAGTTTTCACTTCCATTGAGGTAGGGGTGTTCTAATCTACAATTTCTTAGTTTTTTTGTGAATTTTTCCCCTTAAATTTGATCCTATGCATGCTAATTTTGATTATCTAGTTTGTGGTTGAAGTATGTTTAATTAAAATGCTAAATGTGTTCCATGTGTTATTTGAATTCATATATATGACTAGATTTATTACGGTGATTGAGCATATTTGGTGTTGACATATTGTATGTCCTAAGATTATGTATTTTTATATATCTATTTATTGCTTTGAAAGAAAATGATGCT